GCTTAGCAGCGACTGTTTCCTGTGGTGGAACTCCCAGGGTCCCCTGCTGCCCTGAAATCTGTCCATGCTGCTCTTCATTGTCCTCCTTGATAAGGGAAAGAGCTTCAAATTGATTCTGTAGCTGTAAGCTCCCAGAACAATCCCTGGTCTCCCTACTTCTGTGCATGACATTCTTCCAGTTGTCTACCTCCTGCGTATGTGATGTAACCTTCTCTTCCCCAGCCATAACCTTCTCTTCCCCAGGGTCATGTTGAATACATAGGGCTCTGATCAAATCAAGTTCCTGTGCTTTATTTATTTATTTATTTAAAAAAACTTTTTAAGGTAACATTCCAAGCCTTCAGTGCAAATCAGAAAATTTCATGAATGCTCCCCACCATGAAATATAAAGGGGTAATCACATGAAACTAGTCACTTTTTATATTCATGCATAGCAGTGGTTCCATATCTCCAAAATCTATATTCTGCAATAGCTATTCATGACTGAGAATACAAAATGTTGATAAGTGCCTTAAATATAGCAACAGGTTTTTGAATAGTTGCACCATTCTCCAAAAGCAAGATGTTTATACCACTAAATACCAAACACAAATACACAAATATCTGTGTCTTTAACAGTTTTAATATAAAGAGTATGTGCACTGTATATTCCTGTCAAGCAGGAAAAAGGTATTTGTGTTCCCCTAAATTCTAAACTCCAACTTTCAGCCTAAGCCATCCTCTCCTAAGGAACTAATTCTTCACTAAGGCCCAAAACAGACCGGCCTGAAGAGCCAGCTTCCCAGTGGCTTGAGAGCATGACATACACACAATGCACACCCCTAGGAAGCTAAGCAGGATCAGCCCAGGTTAGTACTTGGACTGAAGGCCATCAAGGAATACCAGGCAATGTAAGCTATATTTCAGAGCAAGGAACTAACAAAACCACGTCTAAGGATCTTTGCTTAAGAAAGCCCTGTGGTCATGTGGTCACCATAAGTTGACAAGCAACCTGAAGGCAAACACACACAAAGACATAAATGTCCTGAATTTTGTTGGTCAATTCTCATTTAGACTAGATCCACTGAATCTATTGCTGAATGGTGAGTCAACCCATAGGTATATCCAATTTCTTAAATAGGTCTGCTCTCATTGGGAGTTGCAATAGGATTTAGGCCAATGACTATAATGACATATTGAAATCATTCATATTCAAGAATGTTGGGATAATGTTTCATGGGAGAGGGAAAAGGAAATGTTTGATATGAATTTGCTGTTCTAGGTGATAATAATGTCTAGTTTTGGCCTTGTTTATTAATTTAATTTATATTTAATTTATATCCAACCTCTCTTCCCATATAGGAACCCAAGTGGAGTCCAGTGTAGAATTAAAACAAAATGCAGTTAAAAGAGAGGGCCTGCATGGTGTAGTGGTTTGAGTATTGGACTCGGATTCTGGGTGACCAGAGTTCAAATCCCTGCTCAGGCATGGAAACCCACTGGCTGACCCTGGGCATGTCACACTCTCTCAGGCTCAGAGGAAAACAATGACAATCCTCTTTTCAACAAATCATGATAAGTTTGCCTTAAGGTCACCATAAGTCAGAAATGACTTGAACGCACAAGCAACAATAGTAACAATGAAAACAAAACTTTTGTGGTACAAAAGTTGCAAAAACAACAGTAAATAGACAATAATATTACAATATTTAAAACAATTAAAATACACAAAAAACCATAAGATAAAAGTACAGGATACCCCATTAAAAGTCCAGCTAAGGTGTGATGCTATATGCCTGTATAGTCTAGGTGATTTATGCTTTTATGCAGCACTGTAATTCAGGTTGTTTTCCAGTTTATCTGAGCATATTGAAGTAGTCAATTGCCTGAAAATTGTGTTTTAAAATGACTGTCCATGATTGCCTATGATTCAGGGTCAGACTAGATAATCAACTGGGACTCTAGATGAGACTTTGGAAATTCTACTGTCTGTCTCTTTCTCTTAGTTCTGTGCTCTGTACTGCTGTCAAGGTTGCATTGACAAGGCCACAGTCATCTTGTACTGTAAACAATTTCCTATGTCCTATGTAAGATTCCTATGTTTTGTAAACAATGTCTGTTTAGTAAAAAGTGCTGAATATTGTGAAACTAACTGAACTAGAGAGGAAAGAGGGCGTGGTTTTATATATGCTGGACATATTTGTAGGATCAGTATAAAAGGTCGGTCAGTTGTTAACTCTATCCTTGGCATTTTGGAAAGAGATTTCCTGCTAAGCCTGCTGGTGTTATTGCAAATAAACTCTCTTTTCTTCATCTGTGGGTCTCCAGTCCCATTATTCTGCAACATATCACAGGAGATAATGTTCCACCTGATGAAACACAAGTATGGTAAGAGACATTATTTTTGTTTAAATATTTTGGGGTTTAAAATGTCAAAGAATGTCTAAATCAAAAGAGGAACTGTCACTAGGAAATCCACAGCAGGGGATCTGCTAAACCTCAATCTACTGACTATGCTGGCTACATTTTACTAAACCTCTTTTTCATCTTTTCCTTTCTCCCTTCCCCTGCTGCTCCTTTCTGTGTTAGCAGAAGCAAGCAAAGGGGAAACGTTTATTATCAAAGTATCAACACACAGTTTGAATTCCCAGCTCAAATGCATTTTTCATCTCTTCCACCACAAGTCATTGTATGCTTCCAGCATCACACACAGAATACATTCCTTTTTTTTTTTAAATATCCTTTCTGCCTTTCACCTTCCATCACATCCCAATGAATGTGTATTTCAATACCTGACAGTATCTGAGGATGACTTTTACCTGCCCATTTTAATTTTTAAGCCATTCCCTGTTTTTGTTCACACTACTAGAGATAGGGTTGCACTTCTAGTGTGTTGGATGAATTGTTTCCAACCATTATAAATAAAAATAGGGGAATCTATAATTATACCCAGAAACTCATACTAAAGAGTATTCTGAATCTTGGACAAGCAGGAGAGGGGATGGTTCAAGCTGACTTTGTGGCAAAAGAGATAAAAAAGATATATTTATAAAGGTCTGAAATTGGATAAATTTTATGAGTTACTTCAAAAAAGTTTAGGTATTGTCTGAGTCCACCTCTCCCACCCTGGTCCTAGATTTTGACAAAATTGGATTTGCTGGCTGAATTCTCCTTTGGTATGGGGCCATTCAGAAAACCAATTTGGTAAGTCAGATTATGTAGAAGGCCTTCCTTAGTCACGCTAAATATTTTTGGTCATGTTACTGGTAAAAACATACAACTCATCACAAAAGTCAGAATCATACAAGCCATCGTATTTCCTATTACCATGTATAACTGTGAAAACTGGACAGTCAAGAAAGAAGATACGAGGAAAATCAATGCATTTGAGAT